TTTGATTTTTCATCACCACGAAACTCTCGGGGGGTTTAGTGGGGGTAGGGGTCGTGCCCTCTCTGGTCGGCTTCCGACAATCGATGTTGCACAAGCTCCCTAAACCCCTCTCCCTAATCCCTATACGCCCAAATTCCTAAGATATGAATCCTCGCCCAGGCGATCCCTCGGAAGAGGAAGCGCAGCGGGACCTCGAGGATAGCGAGGGTGCACACTCGCAGTCTGTGGATCCTGCGACGAATGGCCATGCCCTGAGCAAGGAAAAGGCCACGAATACATACATATAACAGATGTCTATGTATGTATGTCTGAATATACACCCCAAAGCCTGAACCTGTAAAAACCCTAAAGTCCAAGCTTGACGCCTTAACTCACTGTAGACCGTAAACCTTGAAACGTCTTGCAGGGTCTACCGCATTCTAAGTTCTACCGCACACCCCAAACCCCTGAAATGTCAATTCCTGAGTCGCACAGAAGCGAATTGCGCCCAGGCGATCTCGTCGACGAGGAGAGCCAGGAGTACGCAGACAGCGAGAACGCAGAAGAGCAAGCTGTAGGCTGGGCTCTTGTCGTCTTGCAGGAGAAAGAGGGACAGCCAGGATCACAATCTCTTGTTCGGGTTGAGGACGATTGGGATGATGTAGATGGTCATGATGATTATAAGCATGAAGACGATGTTGGTGATTGCCATGATGATTTTTCTTTTTTGTGGTGGTGACTGATGAGCAAAGTGGCGACGATACGGGTTGAGGATGATGATGATGACGACGAGGGTGATGATGCTGGTGATGATGATGACGATGACAGGTGCGCTGATTATGATCAGGAGGATGCTTCTGGTCATGACTCTCGGCTTTTCAGCATGATGTCTCAACCGGACACTCCGGCACCATGCCGCGGGTATGGCGTTCTGGGTAGCGAGACAAAGGGGCGGAGGCTTTGAGGAGCAGGATGCGGTGCCTCTGGTCTTCAGGTCAGAGATTCAGGCTTGATTCTTCAGTCGTGGCAACACGGGACGCTGACTCACCCCCTCTCTCTCTCTCTCTCTCTCTCTCTCTCGCAGTTTCTCTTTCTCTCATTGCGTCCTTTTTGTGTCGAACGGTCAATCACAGTCTGTCTCTGCCGCCCTGTGTGCCGCTCTCTCTCTCTCTCACTCTCTCTTCTTCTCTCTCTCGTTCTCTCCTCTTGCCCTCCTCGTTGACGTTGTGCCACTACAACATATAATCGATGTTGCACAAGCTCCCTAAACCCGTCACCCTAGGCCCTAGACCCTATTTGCCAAATTCCTAAGATATGAATCCGCGCCCAGGCGATCCCTCGGAAGAGGAAGCGCAGCGGGACCTCGAGGATAGCGAGGGTGCACACTCGCAGTCTGTGGATCCTGCGACGAATGGCCATGCCCTGAGCAAGGAAAATACATACATACATACATACATACATACATGTCTATGTATGTATATCTGAAAATAAACCCTAAAGCCTGAGCCCGTGGAAGCCCTAAAGACCACACTGGCCACCCTAATGCACCGTAGACCCTAAATCTTGCAACGTTTCGCAAGGTGTACCGTCAACCCTAAACCTGAGCTTTTAAATTCCGAGTCGCACAGAATCGAAGGATTTACGCACCTCGGGGCCTTTGCACCCAGGCGATCTCGTGGACGCCGAGGAGAGCCAGGAGTACGCAGACAGCGAGAACGCAGAAGAGCAAGCTGTAGGCTGGGGGCTTGTCGTCTTGCAGGAACAAGAGGGACATCATGGACTAGAATGTGATCCCACTATCTCAGTGTCTTGTTCTTGCAAGTGTTCTCATCAGTATTATTGTTAAATATCTTCATGATGGTGAATTGAGTTCAGCTCCTCGGCTGGAGTTTTGTAGGTCGTGAGAAGGGTGGCCGCAACCCCACAGAAGGCACCCTTTTGTATTTAGCAACGAGCCAGGAGACCTTCCTGAAGACACCACATATTCCCATGGCACACGGAGGCAAGGCTTGTTTCTTTGCAGGCGATCTGGCGGAAGACGTACAGGAGGACCAGGAAGTGCAGCAGGAGCCCGAAGACAATGAAATGGAGCATCGTGAAGCTGCAGACGGTGACACGATGATCGGCTGCGTTCTTAGCATGTGGGCCGCGAGTATTTCGGATGAATGCGCGTGCCTCGTTCGCCCAGGTGTACTCCCGGAAGACGAAGAGCAGGAGCAGGATGTGACGCAGGAGCACGGAGACATCGACATACATGCCGAAGAAGTGGGTGCTGCGACGATAAGTGGCCGTGGCCTAAGTAAAGACATTTTGCAGTGCAAACGCAAATTGGACTGATTAGTTAAGGCGACCTCCCGGCAGAAGCCAACGAGGAGGAGCCAGAGCAGCAGGGACCAGGCTCGGAAGACATGGAGCGTTATGTGCAGCAGGAGCCCGCAGGCATACTAACGGTTGCTGTGCCTGACAGCAAGGAGATGCCCCGGAAGAAGCCATACAACAAGAGCTGCGCGAGCATGAGAGTGCAGACGTGCAAGCTGGAGCTGAGACGATGCGTGGCCCTGGACCCAAGAGAGGATTGTGCGCCTGAGAGGAAGGGAGCCCTTTGCTTCGCTCAGGTGAAGTCGGTGACGTGGAGCACGACCAAGTCGTGCAGCAGCGCGCGCCAGAAGCGAGCGGCCACGCCCTTAGCAAGGAAGGGTCCTTCTCTTCTTTTCTGCTCCGAAAACCCCCTAGACCCTAAACCCTAAACCCTAAACTAAACCCTAAACCCGAAACCGAAAACGCATGTCTTCCTGCCTTCTCTGCATCGGCGAAGGCCATCTTCCGGCAGAGGAGCCGAAGGCCGAAGGCGAAGCACCGGAGACCTCTCACACGAGCCGCGGCCTGAGATCCAAGGGGGAAGAAACATCAGAGAGACCTTTGAGAGCTACGGCTGATGCTATAAATCCTGCATGACCCATAATAAGGAATAGACCAGAATTTCGATAGTTTAGGGCCCTTAAGGTATCATCAACAGTAGGATCCCTCGTTTTGGGGAACCCCCCACCAAAGCCTACACTCCCAAAGCCCCAAAGAATGCGGCTCTGATTTCAGAAACTGTCCTAAACCCTAACCCCTAAACCCCAAACTTTCCACTTTCCCAAACCCTAAATCTCAAACCCTAAACCCTAAACCGCAAAAAAGACGGCCGTGTCAGCGCCGCGGAGCTCCTTTTACCAGCTTTTCTCCAGAGCAGTCGTAGGGTTGATGATGATATACATAATAAGGAATATACCATAATTCCCATAGTTTAGGGTCCTGAAGGCAATGCAGGATTTATATCAACAGCAGGGATCCCCTAAATCCTAGAAGCCCAAAGAAAGCCCTAAAGAAAAGGCACTCCCTAAATTCAAGAACCCACCCGAAGACATTCAGCCCCATAATTTTTTAAGGCCGATAAGCCTTATAAACCCTAACAGTGACCCTAACATAAACCCTGTAAGCCCAAAGAAAGCCTTCAATAAGGTACTCCCAAAATCCACGACCCCCGCCCCCCCGACAATTAAGGGAATAGGATGGACCCCTAGAAGGGACCCCTAATCCTACTACCCTATACAGGGTCGCTCCTTTAGTCCCTCGAAACAAAGACCTTCGCCCAAGGCGCCCCGGAGCTCCTCCATTCCCTGCTGATGGAGTCCAGCCTTGGCGTGGGGGCCAAGGAAAAGAAAGAGGGACTGGGCTTCTAGGCCTTTGGGGGGGTTCCTCTAAGGGATCCTTTAAGGGGTTCCTTTGAGGGGAACTCTTTTAAAGGGGTTCTATAAGGGCCCTGAAGGGTTTTCAGAGGGGTTTTAGGTTTTTTTAGGCGTTTTGGTTTTCAACATATGCGGGGCTTGGAAGGGGACTGTACAAAGGCTGAGGACCAAGAAGCACAAAAGGTGCGGAGCCCTTGAAGGAACCTTGAACGGAGCACCGTTTGGCGAAGTGGCGTCCGACGTGCAAAAACCCTCAAACCCTAAGGCCCCTAACCCCTAAACTCCCTTAACGGATCCCTTACAGGAACCCCTTCGGGGGGCCTATGAAAAACAGTAAACCCCTATAGATCCCTTAAAGAAACCCTTAAAGGATCCTAAACCCAAAGCCCTAAGGCCCAAGCACTGAAGCGCCTTGGATGCCTTTTGAAATCCCTACAGAGGCCTTGTAAAGCCCTGTAGAACCAGTATAATTGGACTTTCATCGAGTGTTTTGTGTCACCCCACGAGGCCTGCTCCATAACCGCATAGAGCCCTATTTTTAATCCCTGCAAAGAACCCATAGAGCGTCCTTATAGAACAATAGCTAGCCCTTACACCTAAACCCTTAACCGAACCCCAAAACACTAACCCCTGGAAGACATTATACAGCCCTTCGATAGCCCCAATGCTCCCAAAAAACTTCCCAGGCAGCCGACATTGGTCGCAGCTTCCCGAGGGCCACGTTGCTGTGGCCGGGAAACCCAGGTGGTTCCCTTGCGAGATCCTTTCAAGGGCTCCCTTGCCGTAGAGCTCTCTAAGCACGGCGCAGCCATGAGCCCAAGCCCTAAGCCGCTAAGCCCCTAAACCC